ACCAGTGATGCAACATGTTTTTTCAGCACACATATATATATATACCCTTACTTAATTCACTTTAAAAGTGATCGTTATCCATTTGAATTATAGTCATTTCATACCCTAACCATTTCGTACCCCCATTTCGTTCCCTGGCAAAAACTATTTCGAACCCTGACCATTTCGTACCTCATGGAATATTTACATGTATAACATTTAGTACCTCATGGAATATTTATATGTTTACCATTTCGTACCTCATGGAAGATTTGTATGTATACCATTTCGTACTTCATGGAAGATTCATTAGTGTTTCATTTCTTGGTAAAAACTGTCTCATTGATGTGCGCCATTTCGTACCGTATGTAAGATTCATATGTATACCATTTCGTACCTCATGGAAGATTTGTATGTATGCCATTTCGTACCTCATGGAAGATTTGTATTGTATACCATTTCGTTCCTCATGGAAGATTTGTATAAAATTGAGGATGGAAATGGGGAATGTGTCAAAGAGACAACAACCCGACCATAGAGCAGACAACAGCCGAAGGCCACCAATGGGTCTTCAATGCAGCGAGAACTCCCGCACCCGGAGGCGTCCTTCAGCTGGCCCCTAAACAAATATGTATACTAGTTCAGTGATAATGGACGTCATACTAAACTCCAAATTATACACAAGAAACTAAAATAAAAAATGATACAAGACTAACAAAGGCCAGAGGCTCCTGACTTGGGACAGGCGCAAACATGCGGCGGGGTTAAACATGTTTTTTGAGATCTCAACCCTCCCCCTATACCTCTAGCCAATGTAGAAAAAAACAAACGCACAACAGTACGCACAGTAAACTCAGTTTAAGAGAAGTCCGAGTCCGATGTCAGAATAGGAAACAAAAGAAAATAAACAAAATGACAATAATACATAAATAACAACAGACTACTAGCAGTTACTGACATGCCAGCTCCAGACCTCAATTAAACTGATTGAAAGATTATGTCTTCATCATATGAATATCAAGCACAATCCCTCCTGTTAGGGGTTTAGTATTATAACATCATAAAATATATGAGAAGAACATAACCCGTGTCATGCCAACAACTGGTTTTAGAATAAATATGTTTAATTCCGATGCAAAGACCCTATAAGTGAATCAATATTAAAGCCAAAATATGCAATCTTTAATGACCTGACAACAGTATCGTAACTATATCCCTTCTTAATAAGTCTGTTTAAAGGTTTTGTTACTTTTGAGGTGAATACTGACATTTTTGTGCTTTGTAAAGAATATTACCATAAAAGATTGGATGTGAAATACCCGAACGTATAAGATGTCTGCATGTTGAGTTATATTTACGAATTATGTCCTTATACCGATGATAAAATTTAGTAAATGTTTTGACTAGTTTATGATATCGAAAACCCTGGTGTAATAATTTTTCAGTAATACATAAATTTCTCTCGATAAAATCTAATACGTTGTTACATACACGAGCGAATCGTACAAGTTGAGATATATAAACACCATAAGATGGTGACAAGGGAACGTCACCATCTAAAAATGGATAATTAACGATAGGAAATGAAAAATCATCTCTTTTATCATAATTTTTTGTATTAAGCTTCCCGTTAATGATATAGATATCAAGATCGAGGAAAGGACAGTGGTCATTGTTAGTATTAGCTTTATTTAAAGTAAGTTCAACATGATACATTTCTTTAGTTTACATACTGAAGTCGTCATTATTGAGAGCCAATATATCATCCAAATATCTAAAAGTATTGTTAAATTTTTGTATCAGATGATGTTTCGAAGGGTCTTTGCTGATTTTAGTCATAAATTGTAACTCATAACAATACAAAAACAGGTCCGCAATAAGTGGTGCACAGCTAGTCTCCATTGGAATTCCGATAAATTGACGATATACAGAATCTCCAAAGCGAACAAAAATGTTATCAAGTAAAAATTCAAGGGCAGATATAGTATCAAAGCATGTCCAATTGACATAGTTCTTTTGTTTGTTGCTACTAAAAAATGAACATATGTATTCGCATTCCGACCTTTTAAATGCCCATTTAATTAGGTGTGTGAATTTTTTCTTAATAAGATTATGAGGCAAAGTGGTTTATAGGGTAGAAAAATCAAAACTTTGAACAGATTCAAAATCACCAATATATGCATGCAATTTATCAAGTACTTCCAACGAGTTTTTGACACTCCAAAAGTAGTTATTTCCACTATTTTTAAAGGCCTTAGTTGAACAATTTATTATCAGGTTTTTGATTGTACCAAGTGTACTAGTAAGTAGAATAGACAATTTAGTAGTGGAAAAATGACTTGAAGACAAAATAAATCTATATTTGTAAGGTGATTTGTGTAGCTTCGGAAGCCAGTACATAGTTGGGACTTTCATTGTATTTGGTTCTGCTTGTAAAGAAGTAGCTAATAGTTTATGTTTGTTACAGATATCGTTTTCTGAAAATGAAGTCAGTTGGAATGTTGGTGAATTTGTGATTTCCTTTTGCAGAACCTCAATGTAAAATTTACGTCAAACTATAATGATATTATTAGCAGCTTTATCAGCCGGGACAAAAACAAATTCCTTGGCTAGTTCTTTTAGTTTATGTTTGATACGAGAAATAGGATTTTTATGGTTGTTGTTAAGAGTAAAATGTTCTTAAAATGTTATATGTATACCATTTCGTACCTCATGGAAGGTTTATATATTAGCTGGCGCTTTAGAAACAGTTTACTTTTCTGCCGATTACATTGATTTTGTTTATTTTGTATACACTAGAAAACATGCAATACACACACAAAAAAAGATGTTTACCAAACGTTTTTGAAATTTAGAAGGTTAGATATAAGGATACAAAATAAATGAAGATGTAATTTCTCAAATTGAAAAAGCCATAGCAAGTTCTTTGATTGGTCACAATAGGTGCAAATTCTTATGCAAACATTTTTATTCGTGGCTTTCCTTTGGGTGAATATCAGCTTATGTCCCTTTTCATTGCATTTCCCGACGAAAACAACTGGTAATAACTATAGTTATATATATAACAGTTGCAGATATTTATTCCCTTGTTGATTAATTAACCTCATATTTTTTTAGAGTTGAACATTTAATTAAGGATAAATCCGGCAAACAAACAAAGTGTTATTAAAACTATTAAAGTTTCCAAGTGCTTCTTAATCAAACCAATCATCGGTCTTTATAACATTTCTACGGCTGGATGCATTTTATTTATGTTATATTTAAAACAAAATCAAAATCATCTCAAAATGTTTTATATCCTAAAAAAATGCTAACTTTTACAAATATATGATACGTAATAGTAAACATGTATCTAGTCCATGAGGTACGAAATGGTAGATGCATTTGGCCCATAGGGTACGAAATGGTAAATGTTGGGCACGAAATGGTAATTTTGGGTACGAAATGGCAAAGGTACGAAATGGTCAAGGTACGAAATGACTTGCTACCATCCCTTTTCATGCCTTGATATTATGATTTCTCATGTTAATCATCACACAAAACAGTTGTTAAATATATCAATGGGCCTGGATGGTTGAGAGGGATCTTCTGTTTTCCTTAAATTTAAAGCTTTTTTTTATTATTCTTTGCTTTGTCTGCACATTATTCTGTATTTATATTTTAGCCCTCACTCCAATTATTATCTTTTCTGTAGATTACTGTCTAATTTTTCTTTATTCTTTTTTTTTGTTGCCCTTTATTCTGAATTCTTTGCTTATCATCCATCATTCTCTATTTTGTAAAATCCCTTGAGATTCTCATATCAGTCTGTCCAGCCTGTAGTTGTTAACTGATTCTTTGATACGGCATTTTCCCATATTGTGTTACATGTATGTTGCATTCCCAAATCAGGAGCCTGTTATTCGGTGGTTGTCGTTTGTTGCTGTATATCATATTTGTTTGTTCGTTTCTTGTTTAAATTTGTACATACATTAGGTCGTTGATTTTCTCGTTTGAATTGTTTTGCATTTCTCGTTTCGTGGTCTTTTATAGCTTACTTTGCGGTATGGGTTTTGCCCATCGTTGAAGGCCGTGCGGTGACCTGTATTTGTCAGATTCTGTGTCATTTAGGTCTCTGGTGGAGAGTTGTTTCATTGGCAATCATACCATATCTTCTTATAGTTATTTTTCCGACTTCTAACTGGACAGAGCAATGTGAACAATGTTAAGTTGTGGGACATTCTAGTTTACGGAACTGAGAAAAGTCAACTTGGAATTGAGAAATGTCAACTAAATGTCAACTTAAATACAATCAATGTTAACATATAGATCCTTTGAATAAAATTATTTTAAAAGGTTATCAATTTCATACTGTTTTTTTTTAATTTTGAATATTGTTTATATTGATACTAATATTGATTTTGTTATCAATGAACTGTTTTGAACAATTATGGTCCTACATCCTGTTGATATTTGTACTATGGCATTGCACAAGATTTTTGTTTTCCGCAGATTGGGGATGACATTGTTACACTAAACCAATTGGTTGTGTACTGATTGATATTGTATGGTTGCTGTTTATCATATTTGTTTTCTGTTGAATGTTTTGTTTTAAATCATGTAGCTATTTTTTTTAATTGTTTTACACTTTGTCATGTTGCGGCCTTTTTATATTTTAATGAACGGTATATATTTTGCGTCCGTTCGGCGATTTATAGTTGCTTACGTCTATGTCATTTGATCTATAGTGTATAGTTCTCTAATTTGCAATCATATGATATCTGAGAAGTATACAGTTTGATCTAAGACTTGTCAAAATGGACTGAGAAATTTGAAGAATATCATGTAACTACCAGTCTTTTGTAGTTTTCTCTTGTAGTCGTTTTGCCCTTTTTTGATATAATTAATAGACCGTATTTTGCATAATCAGTCATGCATGCATATAGTATGTTAACTGTATGACGTATGTGGTTGAATAAATTATAATCAGCAGAGTGATAACAGTAACGATAACATACCTTTTTTGGCATATATACCTGTCAGTGCTGTCACAGGTACTGTCGTTCCAATTATGATCAAAATTTGCACGCATTTGCATGCAGTTTTCAGGTATGCCTTGAAAGTCATTCGGTTCACCCATTTCCCAATCAGTAGCTCCAATTTTTACTCTTACACCTCTTGAGGTCCAAAGAAAGTCTTTTGATGGTGGATTGGGATCTTTTCCACCAATCCAAAAGTCTAACAAGAAAAAGTAAGTTCAAAGACCTTAAAGTGACCTATGATTGCTAACAGCCACTTCAATTGGGACTCTGGTTAGTAACCTGCTCATTGGCAAAGCTACCCCCATCTCCTTATTTGAAGACTTAGTGTAAATGAATTTACAAGAGCATGTTTAAAAATTATGTCACAGAAATAGTCAAATGAATACAAAAGAGCCCGGAAATATTCTACTTTATTATACCTGCCATTTTAATAATTGGTAACTTACAGATTATTATCAAAAATGAAAGTACAAGTATTTAACATGTCACATACTGAACAGTTAACTTAATACATTGTCATTTTGATTCATTATTGGTTTTTTTTTCACTCACTACAATAAAATTCATATAAAACAGATCCAAGGAAAACACCACTGGATAACTTGATTTATGTATTGGTTGTAATTGGCTTTAAACTAGCTTTCAGTAATTATGAGTACTTTTATATCGGTGCTTGACAAGTGTCTATTGTTTTTAAGTTAGTTGTTTTTGTACGTTTTATATTTAACATTGTCATAAAAGCGGGAAGTTTGGCTAGCCACAAAACCAGGTTCAGCCCGCCATTTGTTCTTAAAATGTCCTTTACCAAGTCAGGAAAATGGCCATTGTTATATTATAGTTCGTTTCTGTGTGTGTTGCATTTTAGTGTTGAGTTTCTGTTGTGTCGTTGTTCTCCTCTTATATTTGATGTGTTTGTCTCAGTTTTAGTTTGTAACCCGGATTTGTTTTTTTCTCAATCGATTTATAAATTTCGAACAGCGGTATACTACTGTTCCCTTTATTTACCGATTTTTTCAGTTATGCCAATTGCTACTGATTTTTACAGTCTGTTCTTATTTTGTTCTGTTACACCCCTGTCCCAGGTTACAAACCCGCCACGTTTCTTATGTGCCTATCCCAAGTCAGGAGCCCGTAGTTCAGTGGTTGGCGTTGGTTCATGCCTGTCACTTTGTTTTCGAAAACTGTTCTGTTATAGATCGTTGTCAAGTTTTTTCATGTCGGAATCTTTTACAACCATCTATAAGGTATGAGTTTTCTCAATGTTTAAGACCGTAAAGTTGCATATAATTGCTTATATCTACTTATTTGAACTCTGGTGGATAGTTGTCTCATTGACAAGCATACCACATATCCTTTTTTAAATACATTTAGTTGTAACTTGAAAGAACAAGGGGCAATGTCCCATGTGACGACGATTGAACGGAGATGGATTTTGTTTTTCCACATAAGGTATTAAAATGCTAATTTGATTGACTTTAACAAAAACTCAGAACTTATCTTGTCTTATTAGTTAGATACGTTTCAAGAACTTTTCACCTTGCAACAATGAAGGGTCTTGAATGGGGTCTTCATGTCTGTATTCTTTAACTTCTTGAGCCATTTTTCTCTTTTTTTTACCCGCATTCACCATATTCAAAAGTTTAGCATCCCATCTCTATTCTTTATGTTTTTGGATTATTTGTCTCTATTCATCAACTGTTTGTAGTGTTTTTTGTAGTCTTGGCCCACTTTTTTCTGTTCTTTAATATCATATCCATACTATCTTTTACACTTTTTTGTAGTGCAAATGATGAAACCTATAAGTAGGAATCTTGCCGTATACAGTAGGTAGTAGATATCAGTTTATTCAAATTGTATTATATATATATTATATATATATTTTTATATATAAAAAAAACTTTGTGCATCAAACGTTTCGTGCCAGGAAAGTTAACTGTTCACTTACTTTCGCGACAGCCTGCATCAGGTATCCCAGCCAAATGTTTAAGAAAGTCTATTTCTGTTGTAGTATCTGGTTCGGCAAGGATTGCGTTTTCTTTTCCACATTCACTCTGGTAAAACAAACTTTATAAATGAGCCTAAATGAATAATAAAGCCTTCGTGTTGATTTTGATCTTTATTTAAGGCCGTACAGTGACATATAGTTGCTTACTAATACGTCATTTTGTCTCTAGTAGAGAGTAGACTCATTAGCAATCATAGTTCATCTTCTTTATTTAATAATGAGTATTTTTTAACTTGAAATCTTAATCTTTTCGTGCATTTGAGAGTAAGACAATGGTTTTTGCCAGGATTCTTAAACTTTAGAGTTATTTGCTATTATACATTCTTTCTTACGATTATATTTCGTGTCAAAAATTGACCTGACACAGTTTTATTCTTCAAACTCTAGCTCTGCCTTCTAGGCTTTCAGCACTATGCGACGAGTACCTTTCAGGAGACTAAATCAATGCAACTGCCTGTGCATGCTAATGACGGAAAAATTGTCCATTAATAGTCTTTAATATCATTTGTTTAGTTTTTTGATGAATAGCATACGATCACATTTATCATATCTATACAATTAATTGGGACACACTTTATTCAAGTATTTTTAAAATCAAAATTGTTGATTGAACGATATTCTTGTGAAAATATGTGTAGAACAAATGACAGTAGAGTAATTTCCATTTGATTTTCATTAGTGTTTTATGATTTGTCTCGAATAGTACGTATCTTAATTTGCTATTTAGTAGTGGAAGATGTGTTCCTATTCTCATTTATCGGTTTTTGTTTTATGAATACAAAAAAAATGATAATGTGACAACGAAGTTCATTTTGTCTGAAACACTTCCATATAATTTATGTGTTTTGATATTTTTTCTGGCAACTTTGTAACCAAGGACTTATTTCTAGTAGTAGTCCCGTTTCTAATTTAAATCGAACTATATCATAAATACTGCAGACCAGTTGGATAGCAATCGATACGACAAACCTATACTGATAATTTTAGTTTTAATATATCGATAATCATTTTTTTACGGAGAAGATGTCACTAAGTTGTACAACTTGGGGTTCATCGGTTTCTTTAGTTTTGCTGCATCTGGGTTGTATTCTTATTTTTGTCTTAAATAATGTTGGTTTAATGCAAAGGAACGTCTTATCTCGGTTATTATTTAAAATATATATAAATGACTGTGAAATATCGTGTTTAAAGAATTAAGTTTGATTTATTAACATATATCGATGAAATCGAATATCGGCCCATGAAAGACATGTTATATATAATGATTACAAATAGACATAAATCCCTCCCCCCCCTTCCCCCCCGAAAAAAAAAAAAAAAAAAAAAACCAAACAACAATAGCGATAATATGGATTTAACGATAGCAGTTGTTTACTTATTGTGAAACATTTATAACAAGTTAAAGCCACAGTGTTGCATATTTCTCATGTTCACTAGAAAGAAGACAAATAAATTTGTTTTCTGTATTTAGATTTTTTGAAATTATTACAAATTTCTTAAGCAGAATATAACATTATTTGTCGTTGTTGTTCGAATGCTGGACATTCCATTAGAAAATGAATTTCATCTTCAATTGCATTTTAAAAGAACAAAATATACAAATTCTTTAATATTTGTCAATCTTTCGATAACAATAGCTCACTCGCTAAGTATGTAATATACCTTGGTAGATACACTAAAAAATGAAAACTATATGTTTTATATAACTAAGATTAAAATTGTTTATATTAGAAATGGTGGTATTGTAAAATAACGAGCAATCGTTTGTTAATGGTGTCCAACTTGACATTGTAGAAAATTTTAATTATTTGGTTTTTTTTCTTAATTCTATATTGAGGAAAATTTTCAAAAGCACAAACTTTTTTTAAGCATATTACTCACCAAGGAAAATATCATTTTTTATGTCTCTCATATTAAACCATTTTCTTTTAATCATATTACTTTGTTGTCATTGTTTGATACTTATGTTGGTAGTATTTTATGTAATTGTTTTGAGATATAAGGTTTTAAGCCCTTTATGTAACAAAAGTCCATATTGAATTCTGTAAACGAGTATAGATTGTAAAGACATCAACACCTAATATAACATCTTATAAACTGCGATTTATGTTACTAACTAGTAAGTTCAGGTATTTGGAATTTTGGGTTAAGTTATTTAGTAATGAATGTATTTTAGATGATTGTAATAAATATATGATTTGTGTTTTTATTTACCGAAATAACAAGACTCAAGGGGTTTGTTGTGTTCAAAATCAACTTATTCACCTTGCCCTAGATGATATGTGGTATGCACAATACTCACTAAGTTAAGAGCATATTTGTATAAAAAGATAGAAACTTCATGGTATTACATAGAATATGTGATACGAAATTGGATGTTTCACCTAAATTGTATATTGATTTAATGTTTGTATTTTGTAAATATATTCCTAAATTGTAATATTAAGGTTACAGTGGTTTCACCAGATCAAGGATCTTACCAACTTAATTGTTTTGGTGGGAGTTCGCTGACATTATAGCATCAGCGGAGTTCAAAGACATATACAACATGTCACCTTCTTCAATTCTATAGCATAAATTCCAAACTCCATAATATCTAATACTTTTAAAGCATATGTGTGGCCGAACTTATTAACAATACAATATGTCTCAACGCAAATATTTTATGTGTGTATGAAAAAATTGCAGCTAAATGATATACCTTTGCATCATCCCAGTTTTTATAATTTTCAAAAAATTTATAGCATAACTTTTTAAATATGATCCATCCTGGTGGACAAACAGGGGCTGAAAAAGAAAAAAGCATTATTTTACGTTTTCTTAAGGATGTTTGCATCTCAATTTTGAATTAATAAGCTTTTCAAAAGACTGTTATACATTGAAGGAATACATTGTATATTTCAGAACTGAAACAGGAAAAAAAAAAAAAAAAAAAAAAAAATGCATCGCCCGTGCCATGTTTATGAGATATAAACCATTTAACATTTGGTGGGAAATGATTCTATCTAGATTTTTCATACAATTTACATTCAATTTTTTGGCACTTTTGTCTTTCAAAAACTATCAAAAATTAACAATGACTGATTGATTACGTGCTGTAAACGCCACTTTTATCGCTAATGGCTATTTCGTCGCGGTCAGTTTTTATTGATGGAGTAAGCCAGCGTGTTCAGAGAGAACCACCGACCTTCGGCAGGAAAACTGACTATCCTAGTCAAATAAAATTGGAGTCGAATGCACCTACCATGTACATGCAGGGTTCGAACTCACAACCTCAGTGTTGACAGGCTAGTGATGCAGTAGTTGAAAACAAGGATTTTATAAGATTTAAACAAATGTGTTTTAAACTTTATGTAATAAAATTCTAAAACAAAGTTGGGGTTAGCGGGCAAACTGTGTAAATGGCACCACATGGATTCCAAATATTTGACAAAAGGTAAAAAACAAGACAGGCGAGCATCCTTAAAACTACAGACATGATGTCAAACGCACCTTTGTTTTTATTACACGCATCAATAGACGAATTATGAATTGAAAGAATAAAATTTAGGAATATCAGATGTAAACTACTATGAAATAAAGAAGAAAATACTTTTATGAACACTTACTTCTTTTGGGAGGTGGTGGGGGACAAGGCGTGGTGATTGGTTGTGAGGGACAAGGCGTCGAGGTTGGTTGGCACATCATCGGTGTCATCGGACTTCCTGTTATCAAGTTTATCATTACTTGTGCCGTTGTCATCATTGTTCCGTCCGCCATAGCCATTGGTGCTAGCAACCTTCCGATTGCCAATCCACCCAAAAAAGCACCGTCTAAACAAAAAAATAAATACAAGTAGAATACACCTGATTGTTATTGCAACAATGTGTATGAAATATCCAGGATGCAATCAAAACCAACTTTACCTTAATCCATAATAAACTTCAACCCATTACCTCAAACAGATGTTTGTATTTGTGTATGTTCATGTAAACAATATAAAGAGTCCGAAATTTGAAACGAAAGCTGTGTGAATAATTAGATAAAATATATGAACACCAGTCCTATTGGAAAAAAAATAATAAGAATTCGACGTTTTAGAATTTAATGCATTCTGTGTAATATTTTCAAAAGTGTACATCAAAACGTTGTGATTGGCTTACATCGTCCTAAACAATGGGAATTCTACCAATGGCATAACGTTATTTCATTTTTGGGTACGAACAAAGATTACCCACAATCCTTTAAAAGATTCTGAAACGGCTAATTGTAAATACATAGTAAGTTGTTGACAATAGTGCACTTTGGTCTTATTGGATTGTTGTTTCAAATGTTTTATATTAATTATAAAACATTTATTTGAATATAATTTATAAAACATTTATTTAAATATAAATTATAAAACATTTATTTAAATATAAATTATAAAACATTTATTTAAATATGAATTATAAAACAGTTATTTAAATATAAAATATAAAACATTTATTTAAATATAAATTTAAATTTACATGTAGCTGCGAAACAACAACATATGAATGTACAGTTTAGGGTTTGTCTTAAATGTCTCATTGGCAATAACACTGAACCTTCTTATTAATGTTATTTTTATATCAATTCAGCATAAACGGCTGCAGTTCTGATTCTTTTTGTAATGTTTGTTGGTTGTTAAGGTAACAAATAAGAAGAATCTTGTTGTATATATGCATATTTCACGCAGAAGGAAGCGTTGAATGGATTTAGACGTTTGGCGGGAAAGTCAGTGGTTGGGTCCAAGGGTATGGGGGTGTTTGAGAGGGATTCTTGTGTTCGGTATCGGGAACATTTAGAGAACTCCCCTATCCAGTAAATAGTGTATTCGCCCTGGAGTATATAAGTGGGTGAGGAATACACTTCGGGTTCTGTCGATATTCTTACAAAAGAAGACCAGCTTACAATAGTGAGTACGTTACATAGCTGTAAGTTAGATAGGAGGACAACTTGTACTGGGTTCAAGTTGGTCTAACATTGAAAGTTGGTAGAGCAGACTGTCCCACTCGGAGGACAGACTGCAACAATCCGCATTGTTTGTTAGTGACGGTCTGTCCTACTCGGAGGACAGACTGTTCCAGCCCAGACTGTCTGGTAGTAACATACTGTACCAGCCCGCACTGTCTTATATATAGTGACAGATAGTCCCATTTGGAGGACAGGCTGTTTAATATTATATTTGTGTATATATAATTGTTTTATTGTTCATTGTTACTTTGTATCGGCAAATAGCTAGTGTATATATTTTGGTTCATTGTGCATAACATAGATAGTTATAGTTTTTAGTATTGCCGTATTGTTTGTGGACAACTTGGATCCAAGTATTTACTGGAACGTTCGTTTAAGATAATAACGCCTGGTTACACGTTACATATTTGGTGGCTAGCGGTTGGGATTCAAGTTGTCTATCACATTCTATTTGATTGTTTGATTGTCATTATCGATTGTCAGTTGACATGAGTATTTATTTAAAAGAGTAAAGTAAATCAACCGTGAGGCATAGTTGTAGTTCACGACTGAGTTGTAACACGAGTGTATCATATAATAAAATATTACAACACAATAATTGTTTTATTTAAATTACTCTATACTGCAATACATATGTCAAATATTGACGATCAAATTGCTGAAATAAGTAGACAAATACAGTCTCTTAGTGAAAGCACAATACAACATGGACAAGGTTTTATATCTTCTACACCTAGAGATCAGGGTATACGTTCAAATGTTGCTGAAAATAAAGAACATGATTCAGGCGTAGTGACGACAGGGCCGTCTCTATCAACACCTGTAGGATTGGCCGTGGGTGATGCACTGCCTTTGCCAGATAGGGATATCATAACAAATCCACACTTGAATAATAGAAAATCCATAGGGCAAAAAAATCAAAATATTAATCCTAAGCAGGAATTAACAAAAAACCAAAGTACTGCTCATACTGTTTGCTCTGGTTCAAACGATGTTAAAATCAAACCTTCAAAATATGATGGTAATAATCCTCGGATGGATTACTTATCACACTTTGAGATGTGTGCCCTAGTCAATATGTGGTCTGAACATCAAAAAGGTTTGTACTTGGCCGTGTCACTGACTGGACAGGCCCAAGCAGTCCTGGGTGATTTATCAAAGGAAAAGAGACAAATATTTTCAAACCTAGTAAATGCACTGGAGGAACGCTTTGCTCCATCTAGTCAAACGGAACTTTATCGTGTACAATCCAAAGAACGACGACAGAAAGCAAGCGAAACTCTGCCGGAGTTAGGTCAGTCAGTTAGAAGACTTTCTAATCTGGCCTACCCGACTGCCCCGTTAGAATTAAGAGACACGCTCGCCAAGGAACAATTTTTAGACGCATTAGTAGACTCTGAAATGAGACTGAGAATTAAACAGTCTCGTCCTAAAGGTCTCAACGATGCTACACGGTTGGCAGTTGAGCTTGAAGCTTATAATAAGGCTGAGAGTAGAACAATGAAAAGTATGGGTCACTTACGACAGACTACGAGTGACGAACGGATAGAAGCATCTAACAGTCCGGATACCGTTGTATCAATGGAGAATATGGCGACATGGATGCAGACGATTGAGAATAATTTACAGTCTTTAACGAAAGACATGATGACGCTTAAAGATTTAAATATCCAAAGAAAGTTCCAACCACGTATGGAGACCAATAATACTCAAAGCAACCGAGAAAGGGGTGGTCCTTGTTTTAGTTGTGGTAAAATAGGACACTTTGCAAGAAATTGTCCCAATAATATTATGAAACAAAGTACTCAGGGGACATACGAAAGGACCTGATACGGACGGATCAGTCAAGACACTGAAGTCTGGAGATAAGGTTGCAAATAAAGATAAAGGCGCTGTCATTTCAGCATGCGAAGAGGCAGGAATGTTTGTCAAGTTACTCATTCACGATATACTAGTCACGTTTGTGGTGGATACTGGAGCTACACTAACTCTAGTTTCTACAAAAATGTATGATCTAATTCCTGACTGGTATAGGCCACATCTGAGTGCAACTAAGTCACAAATTAAGTCCGCATGTGGAAACTATTTGAACCTTAGAGGTAAAGGCAATTTTGAACTTGATTTTGGTACAGAAAGGTTTACTTCAGAGGCCGTAGTAACCGAGCTACAAGTAGATGGCATTCTGGGTTTGGACTTTATGAAGAAAAACAAGTGTCTGGTTGATGTGTCTGAAAACATATTTCACATCGATAACCTTAGTGTTCCCTTAATTTTTCAAGGTACATTAGGATGTTTCAGAGTGGTTTCTACAGAATCTGTTACGATACCAGCTCGATCAGAGATAGTAGTTTCTGGGAAAGTTTGCTTGACAGAAGGTCAGACATTGCCAACAAATGATGTTTTAGTAGAAGCTAGTGAAAATAAAGGGAAAGATAACATTTTGACGGCACGTTCCTTAGTCAAATCAAATGACAGTATACCAGTCAGACTCATGAACGTAGAAAACGAGGCTAAGACTATATTTCCGGGCACAACTATTGCACAGATGTGTGAAATCAGCCACGTAGCAAAATCTTTGCCCTCTCATAATGACGGACAAAACAAAAAGGAGTTGAGATCAGATTTGCATGATCTTTTGAACAGAACATCTGACAAATTATCAAGGTCAGAAAAACAGAAGGTCAAACGTTTAGTGCAAGAATATGAAAGTCTGTTTGCTGAAACAGATTCAGACTTAGGTAATACTAGTTTAGTCAAACATGAAATAACAACTGGTAATGCTAGGCCATTCAAAGAACCTCCTCGCCGCACACCTTTTCATTTATCTAAGGTTGTCAATGACAATATAGATAAAATGTTAGAAAATAAGGTTATAGAGCCTTCTCACAGCCCATGGACTGCGGGGATAGTTTTGGTTAGGAAAAAGGACGACACGTACCGTTTTTGTGTGGATTACAGGAAACTGAATAGCGTGACTATCAATAAAGACGCATATCCACTGCATAGAATAGATGAATCACTTGACCATCTTGCAGGCAACAGCTGGTTTAGTACTCTAGATTGTTGCTCTGGATATTGGCAAGTTGAACTGGCAGAGAAAGATAAACATAAGACGGCATTTGCAACAATAAAAGGGTTGTTTCAATTTAAGGTAATGCCGTTTGGGTTGTGCTGTGCTGCACAAACGTTTGAGCATTTAATGGAAACTGTTTTAGCAGGGCTCCAATGGGAGATATGGATAGTATATCTAGATGACATAATTGTATTTGGCAAGACATTAGACGATATGTTGGTTAATTTAAGGACAGTTTTTGACAGATTAAAATCAGCAGGCTTAAAGCTAAAGGCTAAAAAGTGTAACATGTGGGTTACCATGGTTCGTTATCTAGGGCATGTAATTTCAGAAGATGGAATAGCCACTGATCCTGAGAAAACTAAGGTTGTACAAAATTGGCATGTTCCAACAAACCCGACTGAAGTTCGTTCATTTTTAGGACTGTGCAGCTATTATAGAAAGTTCATCAAAAACTTTGCCTCGATTGCTAAATGTCTGCATGTTTTGACTGAAAAAGGCAAAAGGTTTGAATGGATATCATATTGTCAGCATGCATTTGATCTACTTAAAATAAAGTTGACAAACGCCCCAATATTAACACATCCTGACTTTAACAAGGAGTTCATCTTAGATACAGATGCTAGCAATGTCGCGTTAGGGGGTGTCCTTTCACAACGTCATGACGACGGTAAGGAAAAGGTTATAGCATATGCCAGTCGCTCCATGTCTAAATCGGAGCGTAGATATTGTGTGACACGCAAAGAGTTGCTAGCTGTTGTATACTTTGTGAAGTATTTTAAACCATATTTATATGGGAGAAAATTTACGATCAGAACGGATCATAGCTCACTTCGGTGGTTGCTGAATTTCAAAAATCCAGAAGGTCAATTGGCTAGATGGATTGAGACACTGAGTGCTTATGATATGCACATTCAGCATTGACCAGGTACCCAGCACAGGAATGCTGACGCACTAAGTCGTATTCCCTGTAAACAATGTGGGTATGTGTCAGACTGGCAGTCAAAAATGAGCAGTGATTGTCACAAGACTGAAGAAAGTCAGGTTAAAATAGTTACTAGTCAGATACCTGACCATGATAGAGACTTGACGTTGACAGATATACAATCAAGCGACTCAGACCTTAAACAAATTAAGCAGTCGCTGACAGATGGTCAAAGGCCACTTTACAACGAGGTATCCGGTAAAGGTTTCTTTATAAGTTCATTATGGAGTCAGTTTAATAGTTTAGAACTTCAAGATGATTTGGTATTCAGACACTTTGACGACAACGAACGGAAATTTGTGAAATTGCAAGCTGTAATTCCATTGTCTGAACGAAAACAGGTTTTACACTACTGTCATGATGCAAAGTATGCGGGTCACTTAGGTATGCGTAAGACTCTAGAGAAAATACGTCAGTCTTACTATTGGCTGACGTTAGGGCATATGTCGCTGGTTGCGATAAGTGTGCTATGAGGAAAACATCAACGAAATAGAAACGTGCTCCAATGGCCATAGTAGAGACAAGTAGTCCTATGGAAAGGTTAGCTACTGATATTCTTGGGGAACTTCCGGAAACTGAAAATGGCAATCGGTATATCTTAGTTGTTTCAGACTACTATACTTAATGGACAGAGTCATTCCCTATGCCCAATATGGAAGCAAGTACTGTTGTCAAAATAATTGTAGAGGAGGTAATAGCTCGATTCGGAGTTCCGTCCTGGATTCACTCTGACCAGGGACGACAATATGAAAGTAGATTGTTTCAAGAGGTTTGTAAAGTACTTGATATCAAGAAAACCAGGACTACACCCTATCATCCTCTATCGGATGCACTACAAACCAGTAAAAGTCTGAAATGGCCTATATCTGTACTCGACTGTACTGATTTTTACTCGACCAGTCTGAATTGGTCTGAAATTTACTTGATAATACTCGACTGTGGTCTGAACCATACTTAACAGTCTGAACTTGTACTCGACCAGTACTTAACCATTTTATACGAGTCTGAACCATGCTCGACCTAGTCTGAACCATGCTCGACCTAGTCTGAACCATACTCGACCTAGTCTGAACCATACTCGACCTAGTCTGAACCATACTCGACCAAGTCTTAACCAACCTAGACCTATTTTTTGTATCTATCTATTGTATTTCATCAATTTAGGAACTGTTTTTAACAACAGCTATTTCCCCTGGCTAGAAATTTGAACAACAATTTGAAATTAAAAATGTATTCAATATAGCATTGAAACCAAAATTTCACAATAAACATAATATAACTTCTTCCCCATATTCATCAACACTTATATACATACATATATATCACCTTTAAAATAAAAATAAAACAAGCTGATCAAATAATCTCAAAAACTGAATTGTGACTAATATTTTCAATGTTATTCAAATTTTTTTGAATGTTTAAGATATATTTTATGGTTACTGGACAATTTTCACCATTTACTTAAGCCTTGTATAGATTTATGGTGTCAGTTGAGTTTAGTTAATAATGCAATGAACATTTTTTTTATTAAAATATATTTAAAATAGTATATAAAGCAACTTAATAAATTTTAAAAATCACACCTTTGTTTTGAAAAACCAAGAATTTAATATAATCATGATAATAGAACTTCCATAGTAATCCTGTGATAAAACTTTTAAAAAAGGAAATGTGTTCCAAAGTTACAGTAAAAATTTATTTCAATTAAATTTAAATAATTTTTGTCAAAATTAAAGACATGGCATACAAGAAGCACTTTAATAAGGTTTAATTACCTCAGTACATGTGTGTTTTACAGGTAAAAAGAAAGCCCTATTTTTCTTAAACTCGTGTATTACTTATCTAGTGAATTCAAAAGGCCTTGCGATTTAAGTTTCACAGGATGTTGCAATTTTGAATGAATGTTATTTAGAATTTAATACTCTCTGACCAGGTGTGATCTTTTTCATGAGTTTGCCCCAAGCAGGAGGTATTACTTTATACTTCACCACTAATCAGAAGAACAATTTTATTAATTTCTTTAATTTTTATCTTTTGATATATATTGTATATAATATATCCCAAATTATAATAATAGATATATTTCTAAAATAAGGTTAAACAATTTCTGTGATTTTGTTGGCTGTAGTTACTTCATTAAAAAGATAATTATATAACTATTGTACATTTTTTGTATGTAACCATGAAACCTATGTAGTTTTTATTTAGGAATTTAGGAAAATTAATTTAAAAAAAAAACACATGCCAAACAAAAAGCACCTTAATCATTGTTAATAAGGTTTAATAACCCTCAGTATAGGTGTGGTTTTTAGGTAAAAGAAAATCTTTTTTTAACAAAACACTAAAACTTTAAAATTAACATAATTAAATTATTATATAAGATAATTTGATTTAACTATCTCTATTCGATAAATCTGAGAATCATGTAAGAATGTAAAAATCTGTTTTTATAATATATCTTTATTTTATTGTGGTTGTTGTCATGTCAGTTAAAAAGAAATTTATTTTAGCAGTTAAAATTTAGAAAAAGTAGAGGTTATTTGGTCAAGTATGGTTCAGACTGGTCGAGTATTGTTCAGACCTTTGGTCGAGTATGGTTTAGACTGAAAAAATAGGTCGAGAATGGGTTAAGACTGTTTCAGACTGGTCGAGTAATAGTTCAGACTATTTTCAATGGCAAAGATAAGGGTCAAGTACAAATCAGTACAGTCGAGTATGGTTAAGACTGGGGTCGAGTAATGTCGAGTAAAATTCAGACCAATTCAGACTGGTCGAGTAAAAATCAGTACAGTCGAGTACAGATATAGGCCATTTCAGACTTTTACTGGTTTGTAGTGATGGTATGGTAGAAAGATTCAACAAGACATTAGTGACAATGCTTAGTGCATATGTCCAAGAACATCAAAGAGATTGGGATAAGTATATCCCCTTTGTTATGATGGCATATAGGGCATCCGAACATGAAACAACTGGACAGACTCCAAACCGTCTCATGTTTGGTAGGGAAAGTACAACTCCGTTAGATATATTGTATGAGATGCCGCCATCTATTAAAGGTATACCACAACATAAATGGGCTTGGGAACTAAAAGAAAGATTAGAGGATGCACATTCCTTTGTTAGGCAAAGAATGCCAGGAGAAATGAGGAGACAAAAGAGGTATCATGATCTCAAATAATCATATGAAAGTTTTAAATCGGGAGATCAAGTATATGTCTACTTTCCTGTAAGGAAAACGGGAAAATCTTCAAAACTGACTAGTTTTTGGAGAGGACCTTTCACAATTTTAGAGAAAAGCGGTGACCTTACATATAAGATTGACTGTGGTGTCCGAGGGACTCCGCAGATCATTCATGTGGATAGGATAAAACTCAAACACAAGCAGGTGTTGAGAGGGGAAATGTATGAAGACATTGATAATCCCCAAGTAACAGAACCACGTGAAATTGATATATTTGATAATATCATAGATCAGGATGACAGAATGAGTATAGAAGAAAAAAATGGTCGTCGTGAAAGAAAAAGACCAGTCTGGATGGCTGATTATATACTTGATTAAGTTTTAATTTATTGTTGTATATAGATTCAATATTTGTTGTTTTATATTTGCAGAATCAAGATGGCAAAAACAAAAAATTACAATAAGAAAAAAAGAACAGTGGAAATGTGGTTTTTGTCCTACTTCATTTGACTGTAAAGATGAAAGAGATAAACATCTGCCTTCTTGTGCAAATGAAAGATTGTTTTGTACTGAAGGTGGCTGTTTCTACCATACAGACAAGTCAAAGAACTTACTGAGACACCTGAAATCTAAACATCAGAAAGACGATGATAGTGATAGTGACAAAGAAGCAAATACTAGTAAGAGTAAAGACCTGCTCAGCGGTTCATCAGAGTCCGAGATTGAGGATGAATGGAAAAGACAGGATCCAGGAGACATTCTTGGACAGGACAGTGATGAAAGTGCACACAGTGATAAAGAAGAAGAGAAGGATACAGGATTAAAAGAGACCGAAAACAGAAAGATGACTACATGGTGACAAGTAAACCAGATGAACGAACTGTTGTTTGTAACACAGAATTGGGTCGAATAATCAGACAAAAGACTACTCCTCGGCTTCCAGGAGCGAGAGGTACTTTTGCTGGAAGACTGGGACCAGAGATTTTTGCAGTTGGTAATAAGAGTACCGATGCAAAAGGATTACCAGTTGACAACCCAGAAAAAGGGGAAAGTAAAGTCAATGAGAAGGATAATATTGCTCTCTGTTCAACATGTAGGAAAAGGAAAGTGAATCTAGTTTCGTGTGGAGTTCAAACAGACTCGTTGTTGTATACGAGAACTGTAAAAACTGAAACAACCTATCGAGAAGGTCCAAAGAAGATCCGTATAGTGGAAGTTAAAGAAGTCAGATAAAGCTTTTCAGACATTGATTGGACATCTATTTCAAACCAAAGATATTGGCTAAATAAAGTATTATTTATTATATTTTATTATTATTTAATCATGCGGGACGCATGTAGATTGAGGCGTGGGTTATGTAATGTTTATTGGTTGTTAAGGTAACAAATAAGAAGAATCTTGTTGTATATATGCATATTTCACGCAGAAGGAAGCGTTGAATGGATTTAGACGTTTGGCGGGAAAGTCAGTGGTTGGGTCCAAGGGTATGGGGGTGTTTGAGAGGGATTCTTGTGTTCGTTATCGGGAACATTTAGAGAACACCCCTATCCAGTAAATAGTGTATTCGCCCTGGAGTATATAAGTGGGTGAGGAATACAATTCGGGTTCTGTCGATTTTCTTACAAAAGAAGACCAGCTTACAATAGTGAGTACGTTATATAGCTGTTAGTTAGATAGGAGGACAACTTGTACTGGAGACAACTTGTACTGGGTACAAGTTGGTCTTACATTGAAAGTTGGTAGAGCAGACTGTCCCACTCGGAGGACAGACTGCAACAATCCGCATTATTTGTTAGTGACGGTCTGTCCCACTCGGAGGACAGACTGTACCATCCCAGACTGTCTGGTAGTAACATACTGTACCAGCCCGCACTGCCTTATATATAGTGACAGATAGTCCCATTTGGAGGACAGGCTGTTTAATATTATATTTGTGTATATATAATTGTTTTATTGTTCATTGTTACTTTGTATCGGCAAATAGCTAGTGTATAGATTTTGGTTCATTGTGTGTGCATAATATAGATAGTTATAGTTTTTAGTATTGCCGTATTGTTTGTGGACAACTTGGATCCAAGTATTTACTGGAACGTTCGTTTAAGATATAAACGCCTGGTTACACGTTACATTTCCATCAAATTTCTAGTTTAAGTATTTGCTATGTGCACTTATAATACAGAATCCCCCTTCGATCATATTTATGATATATCCTTACCACATGATCGTGAACTGGAACTGGAAGAAACTCTTCCTTCGTTAACTTCATTAATTAAGAATATTTCATTTGGGCCAGTTATTGCATCTTGGCCATCTATTCCATTAATATTTGAAATAATTTGTTGACCATTTATTCCATCTAAATTGGTAAATATCTGTTGACTTTGTACTGAAGTCAAACCAGACAAGACCACTAATGATATCTGAAAAAATATAAGATGAATAAATACAAATATTTAAAAACAAATGACTACTAACTTTTTCCGCAGTCGAATTATATTGCTGTCGAAGAATATTTTGATAATTCAGATTTAACGTGTTAATGTTCAACCTTGTATCATTGCCAAATGAGCCATTGTTATCCGAAAAAAAAAAATTTTCACCCGGAAGATAATTTATATCTTAATTCCATTTTTTTGTTGTTGTTATAAATGTCATCCGTTAACATTTCCGATTAATAATAAACATCTGCCGTATCATTTCACTATCGTGATTTTAAGAAATCTTCGCACTTCTAAAAAATAAATAAATATTTTGATATTTTATCAACTAAAGTGCACACTCATTGATCATGCATTCTGTAAACGCTAACAAGATGCTGTGTAGAAAAGATACCAAGGGGACACTCAAGGTCGAAGAAAAATTTAACAAATATGACAATGCCGTGGCTAAAACAAAAACAAAAAGACAAAAGGATAAACAAATCCACAAAACAATCCATATTAAAAAACATAGCAATTAATACGAACCCAACCAACAATTATAAATTGCCTTCTTTATGTGCAATTGTACCAAATCTAAGATTGGAACTCTCAAGCAAATTTGGTTTTAGATATTTTTGATAATTTTAGCTTTCCATACTTTGGTCATCATTTCACATGATTAAGATCATTTAAAAAAAATGCGGAGGGCGCATAAAAAATCATATCATTTGTTATTTTCACCCAAATAAATTTAAATACGTTAAATTATCTCAAAAATATAAGTACAAAGTGCTACATAATTTTCATCTCTCTTTTTTACCGGCTACATTTTACCAACTGTTTTCTGCCCGTTTTCTATTGATTTAGTCAGTGTAGTTGTATAATATTTTGTATTTTAACTTGAGTTGCTCGTTACGTTATTATTGTTGACCTAAACATTGTCAATAACGCTTCTCTGTGAAATGTGTTATCACAAGGCCCGAAATATCGTGAGCCTATATCCATGAACTGGAAACAACACTTCAAAATGTTGATCGATTCAGTCGAGGATTATACCAGGCAATGGGATAAACACGAGAAAGAAGACGTAGATATTCTTTCCGAATGGATTAAGGCTATGATTCAAATAAAAATTAAAAAAAACCTGAATGAGTCTATGAATACCCATGCTACATCAATCTTTAAAGACTCAAATGTTGCAACACACCTGTCCTTCCTCCATGACAAATATGCTGTTGTCCCCGCAGATAAAGCCCCAAACAACACCGGTTTTGTGTGTAAATCGCATTACATAAACTGCTTGATAAATGAATTAGGTATTGACAATTCACTTGGAAACTCAACATATACCCCCACGCCACTTACCAAGAATAAAATCCTGAATAATCATAGGTCTGTTCCATGTTGCTTTGGAAATTCAACCAAAGATGAAGAACTGGATCTTCCTTCACTGTATTGGATACCTTAACTACATAAGTGTCCTTACAAACAATTTTATATTGCTGGGTGTTCCAAGCGCCCCACAAAACCTCTTTTTAGATTATCAACATCAATTTTATTAGCAACCAAAGCCGGCCTTCAAAGTTATTGTGAAATTACCTATTCTAGAGGTTGCGTGAATCAGACGTGGATACTTAAAAAGTATTCCAAAGGTTTTTAGAGTACATACAAACTAAGAGTCTTTTTTCCAAATTAAAAGACAAATTGAAAGATTTGTCCTGCTTTTTTTCATAAAATAAAATTGCCAACTTACATACAAGTATCTTGTCTTGGAGAGGGATAAATCGTACTTTGTAAAAAATCAATCTGATTCAAACAAAAAATTCTCTAAAACTGACATTATCAAGATGCTTGATTTCTTGATTGACAATATATATATATGTTCTATTTGGAGGACGTGTTTTTCAACAAACAATCGGCATTCTCATGGAAACGAAATATGCTCCTCTTCTTGCCGACTTGTTCATTTATTCATATGAGGCTGACTTTATAAAGGAATTTCTTAGATAATGATGTTCTCTCACTTAATAATTCAATATTTTTGATTATGTTGCACGCATCTATCCCATCGAACGACAAAAGTGATGATTTCAGCTTCCCAATTGTGAACTTTTGTAGCAACATTTCGGCAGCGCCTGCATACGGAGTATTTATCTTCCAGTTGATACTATATTTTAGAGCTTGTATTTCCTGTCATGATTTTCTTGATAAATGGTTGCTGCTCACAAGGAAACTATTAAACCAAGAGTTCCAAGTGCTAAAGTTGAAATCATCCCTTCATAAATTTTACGGACGCTATCACGAATTGTTTGACCGTTATGGAATAACTGTTTCCAAGATGACAACGAAAATGTTCCAATTGTCATAACCTCTATCCCGTCCACTTTTATCTATCGAATTATACTTATTACCGGGTTTGTTCTGACTAGCAACACGACGGGTAACACATGTGGTGAAGGATCTGCTTACCCGCCCGGATCACCCGAGATCGAGTTTCTCAGTCTTTATTTTTCTATCTTTTGTTTTGTGTAGTTTTGTTTGTTTGTCTTTTTCTTTTTTTGCAAGGACGTTGTCAGTTCATTTTCGACTTATGAGTTTGAATGTCCCTTTGATATCGTTCGCCTCTCTTAAAAGCCAAGAATGTATAAAAAGATGAATATGTGAACAACACTGAACTCCAAAGAACAGCCAAATCTGGCTAGTTCAGATTTTTAAAAATTACAGAATATGTCAATGGAAAATTTGAGAAAGTTATCTGATAAATTTTAAATAAAGGAATGTATCATCCTGATGCAAAGTTCTGATTCCTGGCTCAACTTTGGCTTTACTTTTTGTCTTGTTTGGTTTTATCAGCAATCTTTTTATTGTATTATGAACTCGAGCATCACTAAAGAGATTTTTATTGTCGATATTCGCATCTGGTGCAGTACAAAGGTACCGTTAATGTTATTATCAATCCCTAAGTACTTAAAATTGAGTTGATGATTGCTTCGATATGGGGGTAGCAGTTCATTATTAGCAATGTTGACTCAATGCTAAGAGTGAAAATAACATTAAGTACGTTTGGTGCGTACGAACCAACTTTTTGAACGATTTGTATTATAATGAACTGTGTTCATCGATACCAACATATGCCATAAATATATTCCATTTGTGTATCTTATCATTAGTCGTTTGCTTTATACTATCATTGAAACATTGCAGTAGAAAACTTATGAAATAGTAGTGTAGAGAAATAAATGGTAATTCAAGGTCACAAATGATAGGATCTTATTAAGATTAGAACATAGAAAAGTGTTCGCGACCAATGAAATGGTAGGATTTGGTGTTTTTAAATTGTGAAGAAAGAATGTAAAACATGTTCTTATCCTATTGTTTATTTACAGCTCAAACAAAGAATTTCCATAAACGAGTTATAGATGCCCCGATGACCAGCTTG